CCCCTCTCCTTCCAGCAGCGCAGTGTCTCTGCTGTCTGTAACCAGCAAGGATTCACATGTGGTTTTTAACTTATGTCAGTGCACATAAAGAAATTGCCACTGTTTAAAATGTACTTACAAGTGAAAAAAACCTGAAATTTGAGTGGCTCCCATTGCAACCTGAACAGTTCATCTTTATAGCAGAAAAAATTGTAGCAACTGAGCAATTTGTCTCTTACACTGAAACTGAACCACGCAACTTTGTGTTCAATTATTAGGAGCTGAATTACTTAAGAAAGTATTTCTGTTTACCATATTATTTATTCTCTTTTCACTTCAGAGCAGAAAAGCAAAGCAACTCCTATTTTAAAACAGCCGTGCTAAAAAGCTACTTCAAAATCTCATTACTGAAAGACACATACCAGATTTCACTTTAAGTTTACTATTGTTCAATCTTTCCTCATAGACTGAAGTTCACAGTGTGCTACTGCCTTATAATGCTTCTCTGTTCCCAGACAACTGTAAACACAGCCAGAAAAACTTCATTCCCAACTATCCATCTCATTCTTTTTTGAGGATTAGCTGTTGTGTAATTGCTGTATCTCCAGTACTTTACGTTTGGTTATTAAAATGCTAACAGCTACCAGTTTTCAGCAACTTCATCTCTTAATATCCAAGGAAGCTCTGCGTGAGTATAGTAATTGGTCTTTATAGTAAACTGAAAGACGACAAATGAAATTATAACACTAAAACGTTAGTTACACTGCAGTAGCTACTACGTAGTAACAATGCGAGTATCAAAGCCTACAACAGTATTTGAGAAAATAACAAACGAACTTGAAATATACTACTACAGATAAATTCAATACCCAGAAATAGCATTTGTGCTATAATACAGCCTCTAAAGCCTCCATTGAAAAATGGTATTTCAATGGCACCAGGTCTTGAACAGATGTAGAGTAAGATACGGTCATCACTTACTGGTTTAGCGTCACATCTAGGATGAAAGATGATCCAAAAGCATCAACCTGGAAGCTGGCTCGAGCAATGTGGGTAGACTGCAATATTGAAAAGACTGGAATTAGTATTCAGCTACAACAAAACATATCGTACACATTTGTGAACACATAAATTAAATATACTTACTAATTAACAATATGCCGTTAACCAAAAAAAATTGCACTGAAATGGACAAAGCAGTCTATGATAATGAATAAGAGATTTGTTTTCTGAATCTATGAGGTTTATTCAAGAATTCCCAACACCACAACCTGTGACTGGGAGGCTCTGCCTTAGTAACCCCCCCATCTTAACCCATCCACACCATAGGGAACGGCTCTTTTCTTTGAACTTCCATCCTGGGCAAAGCCCAGAGCGAACACAAGTGGAAAACTTCCCCCAGCTAATGTGTTACTCGTTCCTTAACCTGACTCTGGACATAGACCAGTGGAGAACAGCTGAGACATTAGCAGTTTGGTCAGACCGGGATACGCTCACAAATCTCACGGACATTACGTTAAATAAACTGTTCAGTCAGATGGACTCTCATTTAAACCCATACAGTGAGGTGATAGCAATGGGCTAAAATCAGATTAACTGCATTTTCTGTAAAGCTCTGACTCACCACCCTGTAACCCATCTCCTCCAAAAGGCTCCCAAAACTCCAACCCCCTGAGCAGTCACTAAAACCGAAGAAAAATGGGTGCTAGAGAAACATCTATCTATCTATCTATCTATCTATCTTTCTATCTTTCTTCCGGTCTTTCTTTGCCATATTATTTTCCCCAAATTAATTGCTTTCATTCAATCCTATAGAGAACAAACATGAGAATACCTTGTAACTCATGATCTGCCAGAAACAGAATATGTATTCTAGTAGTAGTGGCAGAAAATACTCAGCTATCCAATGGAAACGCAACAGTTCTTTCTAGACCTGAAAACTCCCAAGAAATGGAACAGACATGTTGTTTAACTAATTACTAAGAAAAGCTACTTTCAGACATTTTGGAGCAGTCTCAACTTTGTTTTTATTTTCTTTCCATTGAAATCCGCACATTAAGATTTGAAGCATGTAGGCAGAGGAATCTAAGAGGAAACACTGAAGAACCACTTACAACTCTAAACTACACTTCTCTAAATAAATACAATACAGGATAGTACAACTCTAACAAATGATTTATTGAAAACTCTGGGAAACACAGGACAGGATGGGATAATGTGAATCATCAAATTCACTCCCTCTAAAACTACTGGCAGGCTTTCAATAGGCATTAAATCCAGAAGAGCTGAGAATACCAGTTTCCCTGGAAAAGAACAGCAACAAAGAAATGGAAAGTTGAGGGAATCATGACTTTTTTGTTTATTACAGTTTTTAGTTGCCCTACAGCAGAATTTACTTTTTATCCCTATATATATAAGCATAAGTATTAATAAATAAAAAAGACAACCACCATGAATACATATTTACAAAAAGTTGATTCCTTTAAAAAAAAACAAAAGTCAAGACAGCTTCTCTTATTAGAGGATGCTGAGGCTGAATACCCTCTATAAAAATGCCTAGCTGTACCACTGCAGTGAATATGCATGCAAAATTGCCTGATGAGAAATTCCAGATATTGACAGTACAGTTTAGAAGGATGCAGTATTAACTGGAAAGTTTCTTAGAAGGCCTCTCAGTAGATGCAATTCACAGAGTCAGATATCCTTTCAGCTATCCCCATTACATCCAACCTATTTTGTAACACAGTCCACAGTTCTTCACTAAGTGGTTCTTGTAATTTCTGGATGATTTAAGAGCATCTCTTTTGAACAAATGTATAATCTTTGACCAACTAACTGAATATAACGCCTAGTTTACGTTATCTGGGTAAATAATTTCAGTGATTAATTACCATCAATATTAAAAGCATACTTTCTGGCCAGAAAGTTTAAAAAAAAAAAAAAAAAAGACAGTAATTCAGTAATTTCCTCACATCACCCATTTTGATCACTTTTTGAAATTAAGGGATTCAAGCTAGTCCCAAATGACCCGTGACACAGCCGGCTGGTACCTGTAAGGCAACGACAGACACCCACAGCACGTACAGCCACCCACCCACAGGACCGCCATTTAGCTGTTTCTGGCCTGCAGCAGCTAGCACAACCACAAAAACAGCAAAAACAACCATCAACAAATTATCACATCAGCACTGGCATTTCTTTTCCAGCTCTCAGGCAGCAGAGTTTGCTTTGAATGATTTTTAAATTCCACCTTCTCTTGCTAGTTGTGAATTTTTAGGCTGCTGCTCACGAAGAGGATGTGACAGGCCAAGAGCCGAGTAAGGTACTAAGGGCCAACACTAGTTTGGTCATTCCCTTGTTCCACTGCAGCATGTTGCTAACCTTAACTAACCTTCATTTACCTACCTGCACCACAACAACCACTTTCTGATCACAGGAGTAATGGCAGCCCAGCTGTTCGCTTTTCAACATTATATTATTAAATGCAAAGGACATTCTACAGCACTTTATTATTTCTGTTTGTTAACAACATATGCCATCATTTAGATCTGTATACACAGCATAACCAAGTCTTCTGTATGACCATATGCTGGTACCGAAAGAGAATTCGTCAGTAAGGAAGAATATAAAAAGCCTCACTTAAATTTCCAAATATACATATATTAAATGTAGCATTTGTCATTAAAACATATTCACCTCATTCACTATAAGAGCAAAAATGACTAGGGTTTTTTTTTTGTTTGGTTTGGGTTTTAACTGCTAGGCATATTGCATCATATTGATTTGGTCTGGGAAATTTCCTCCCTTGAACGTAACTCTAAGATAAACAATTACAAGGCTAATGTATTTCTGAGGTGACCCTGGACCACACTTATTCCCTGACAGAAGTTGTTAATGTGGATTTAAGGGAGAAAAGACTTGTTAATAAATTAAGATGAAAAACATTACACAGATGTACCCACCCCCAAGACAAGTAGTGCAAACCCTGGAAGCTCACCATTAAGTTTAAGCTCAAATGCAATCAAGCATCTCTCAAGTGTATCTCAAACCTACTGAGATATGAAGATGCACATTTTGGATAGCCAAACTCAGCCCTTTCCAGAAATTGCAGCCCTTCCAGATTCAAAGACTCCTTCAACCCTGATACACAGCTGTAATACACTGCAACACCGCACACTGTGGGCTGCTGCCGAAATCAGACAGTTCTGCCCCATCCTGGCCATGTGTTCCCACCTCCTCTCCCTTGGCAGCTCGTGTGACTGCCCAGAAAGTCAGATCAGCTTCAGAAAATGAATCATTACTTGGAGTGGATCTGTTTTCTCTCGAACAAATAAGTTGATCCAAATAAACTATATAGTCACACCATGACTAGATGTGATGGAAAGAAGCTGGAGGGGACATGCAAGAGAGAATGAAGAGGAAGACGGATTCCCCTTTTCGATGACAGCTAACATTCAGCATAACAAAAAACTGCACCTTAAGAGTGCCACCCACTACATTCTTAAGGATAACAATTCTTCTGAGTATCTGGTTAAAAAACACGAAATAAAGAAATGGATTTTAAAAAATCTTGGCTCTACATTATTTTTAAGCACATCTACCTGCCTGCTCAGTGAATAGGTATAATAGCCAGCTGAAAGGGAAGCTTGGATTCATAGACATATGTCAATAAAAGAACCCAAAGAAAGGAAATAAGTACTTTTATGCCATCTATACCATCTCATTCAAGCAGAAGTAACAAGAAAGCAAAGGCTCCTCTAAACCACTGCAAAGGCTCCTCTAAACCACTGAAGCAAGACAATCAGTTATGTCATTCCGTTCTCAAACCAAGGAACTTTCTCAGAAAATTCGAGGCTTTTTCAACAACCATTGATGGCTGACAACTGGGTCGTAAAAGGGGTGTTCTTGGAGACCAGGAGAGATGCACTCAATGCAGAACATGAACAAGAGCCAGGAAAGGAGAATCCAACAACTTAATGGAAAAGCGCAGTATCCGTGCATCCAAAACAATCAAAAAGTTCCAAAATTTTAATGGCATGCAGCTGAAGAAGGAAAATATAACAACTCTGAAATTAGCTGCAGTACTTTCAGATGCAATTTCTAGTGGCATGTAAAGTGTATTACCCTGCAAGCCGCCCTACAGAAAACACTAAGCAACCCGTGCATCCAGTGCAACTATGGGAGGGCTAGCTTTTGTCAAAGATTGCAAAGTTTAAGCATCTCAGTTAATGTCTGAAAGGAATGAAAAATAAATGGAGTGGAAAGGATTATTTCAAATCACTAAGCACAAAAATATTTTATCTAAAACAAATATGAAAAGCTTGAATTCTAGAAAAACAGAAGTGGTATGCAAACCTTCCTGCCAAACCAAGAGGGATATGATTCCAATTATTTTCAGTCACCTGCTCTATGCTTTAGGGATGACTGCAGTAACAGAGGAGATGGGCAATCAGTAGCAAGTACAACTCTTTATTATTACAAACAAACACAACAGAATAATGATGATTTTTGATACAGTCCCTTCAGTACCCCTGCTGGGGATCAGCCTTCTCCAGAAACTGGCCCTGAAGAACCAGCATCTCTCCAAAGGGAATACACCTACATAAACTATAACCAACATCTACCATTGCAGATCAATGTTGATCCTCATTGCACTGTACTGTAGGTAACCTTAAATATGCTTGGAAGATCTTCATTTCAAACAGGTCAAATATTTTAACCACCAGTGAAACACAACGCACTACACACTTTCTTTATAATCAAACTAACAAGAATTTTGAAAAAATATTTTAGAAATTTTCCTCACATCGTGTATAATTAGTTGGGTGTTGAAAGCAGCATAGTAACACAATGACTAATATTTTTCCCCATTAAAATAAGAAAAAAGAGAATTAAAAATATATTGCGATATAACGTGCAGTTCCTCATAATACACGTTTCTTACTTCAGAAGTATCATGCATAAAGCACTTAAATGCTTTTTAGTAAGTTTTGCTGGAAGAGATAACAATAATTTCTATCAAAATAATGTCTTTAAAAAAAAAAAGATTGATGAGAAAATCCTACTTATATGCTTGCCCTTTGATGCAAGGAATTTTATATTTACTACTATTTATAGCATTGTGGTTTCTAATTAAAAGATTCTGATCGAATTCGTAGACTCGGAAGAAAAGCGTCAAGAGAATCAAGAGAGAATATAATACAGAGTGTTATAGCAAGAGAGAACTTAAAAGCTATGCTTCAGAGCTTGTAAGAACAGTGAGGTTTTATAGCAGACACTCTGGGACAGTCACATTTACAAAATAACAGATTCCTTAGCTATTAATTTAATTTCACCTCCTCCATTTAATGGGAAAACAGAAACTTCAGCTTGTTAACAATCCTAAGTATGTATGAAATGATTGTTTCTCAAGTTTAGTAAGGACACAGATAAGTCCATGGGAAATCAAAATACATACATTCATGAAATTAAATGAAAAATATATTAATATTTTTATGTAGATTTACCTAAAAAGAATTTTAACTGTGGTTTTGAAAACAATCATAAATTTATGCTACAGTAGAGGAATATAGAGCTAATTAGCACATGTGCACATTATAAAAGTACAATTTTCATCCTCAGTTGTGTTGTAATAAATCCAGAGTATATTGTTGCTGTACGTAAAATAAGAGATTTGTCCAAAAGCTTACTTTTCTACTTGCACTAAGAAGAAAAAAAAAAAAAAAATCACACAAACTTTGCTCAGAAACAAAATTCAGAAATAAGCCTAGATCTAATAATAAGAATAAATATCTCCAAGCCAAAGAATCACTTTTAAAAAATAAACAATAAAACATAAATGTAACATGATTTCCTCAGACCCTCTCTGTTGCCATTTGCAAATATCTAATTTTAATCTAAAGTTCAGTGTCACTGAACTGGAATCACATATCACAGCATATTAAAGAATTGCAAAATCTCTTTTTTACTTTCCCTAGCATTCTCAAAATATTTATAGGCACTCATTTACTATATTAATCATCATTATTTGCTATTTTTCATGCAAGCTCTCTCTTTTTATCCAATGCATAAATCTAAATATCTATGGGGCTTTCTTTAGGGGGAAAAGAAAAAGTTATTTAATGAAAAAACTGCAGAATAGAATCATGGTTTGATGAAAAGGCTTTTACAGCTGCCTCTTTGGGGTACATTTAGTAAATAAGTCATTTATTCTGAGGAAAAGCTAGAAATAAGAAAAGATTTTAAGAGGTCCGTGTTCATTTTTGAATCCTGGATCACATATCTGTTGTCTGTGCCAAATGAGGGTGGGGCAGAGGGAGAGCTAAACACCATCAGCCGGAGCGCAGTGCCATGGCCCAGTTCACTTTGGTGTGGTTTTGCCAGCTCTCAGCAGATGAAGATCCTGACAAAGTCATAAACATGACCTAAAATAGCTTTTCTCTGCATAAACATCGTACTATCAATGAAATCAGAGTCAGAAGCAAGGCCTGCTTGTACCTCTAAAATGCCAGTAATCGTTCTTCTCAATAGTAAAAAACAAACAAACAAAAAACCTCTTTTATTATTTATTTGTGGTTTTGAAATCAGAGGCTGTTTGGATTTACTCAATATGGTAAAGTAAAAGAGGTCCTCAGAAACATGGATGAGGGGAACAGCACCAGGAAAAAGGAAACCTGAGCACAAACTGATGCAATGTATTACGCAGGTATCACTACTGCAGATCCAATACCTGGGTAGCAGCAGGGATCCTTCAGAGGTCCTACAGAGATACAATGCAGAGCTCTGACGGACTCGGCTAAATCTGCTCCTGCATCTCACCCTAGATTTTCACACAACACTCCAAAACCGTGCGCATCTTTGAACAGTTACAATAAACTGACTAAGAAAAAATAATTCTTATTTTCCTCTGCAAACTTCTCTTCTTGCTCTCCTTCCTTCCCTCCACTTCATCTTTCTCAAAAATTCACCCAAGGTTAAATGATGGAGCAATGAAGACAGGAAAACTATCAAGCTGTCACTGCTAGCAAATTTAGCATGAACTACCGTTTGATCTCACACATCTAGAAGGACAAATTTAAGTAACTGAATGGGCAAGATGCTGCTTCCCAAGAGGCAATCTAACACTCGTTTCTAGCACCAGAAAAACCCCATGGTGCCAGATCTTATACTCGCTGTGCTTTTATGTATAGAAGATTATGTTAGTTTGACTTTAAGAAAATTTTAGTTATAACTTTTGATTTCCTATGAGACTAACTACTGTAAATTCTGTTGTTGTAAAAGTCTTCATATCCCACTGAAAGGAAGAACTGCAAGAACTTTTGGGAAGCCATGCTCCCATTTTTGGTTTGGTTTTGGTTTGTTTTTTTTTTTTCTTTTTCTGAAAGGGAAACAGCAAAGATTCATGTATAAAAGGTCACGTTTAACTAATGTGCAAGAGGTCTAACATATATCGCTGCTGGGGCAAAAGCAGA